ATATAAATATACAGGTGCAGTGCTAAAAACATGACAAAACTATTCAAACGAGTAAAATGACCACATATACAGATGTGCACAGTGCTGATAAAATGCACCCAACTTAGATATAAACACACAGTCTTAATATGCGTGACAAAGTACGCAGGTTTGACTCAGGAAGGTCAGCAATATCAAATGGTGAAATCCAACTTCATAGATAATTCATAGTGATATTCCTTGTGCTGTGACTCCGTGCATCCATTTATAAAATGCGCACTCACCAGATGCACTTAGAACTTGCACATTAAACTATTAAATCTCTGCGGGGTCCCCTTTAAGTGGAACAGCCAGCAGTAAGGATCTTTGTCCGGACACCAGCCTCTAGTGCAGCTACGCTTCCTCTGGGGGTCTCCAAGAGCAGTTGGCTCAGAGCCAAGCCCTGCTCCTCCCGCTTTGCTGACCAGCCGCTCCAGATACCTCAATGCAAACACAGCGCCCCCCCCGCCCATAACGGCAGTGCATTTTATCGGCACCGTGCACATCTGTATATGTAGTAATTTTACTCGCTTGAATAGTTTTGGTCATGTTTTCGCACTGCACATGTCTATAAAGTAAAATGGTATTATAGCGAGCGCTCTAAAAATAGCAGCTGTAACACTCAACGTAACCACAGTAAACCTCCAAATAACAAGAAGTAAAATAAAGTGCAGCGCTAATATGTAGTCATTAGGATAAATAAATGAATAAATATATAAATAAATCATGAGCATAAGTGGTGAGTAAATAATAGTTCATCCAATGAAGGAATAAACTTCAAACAGCACAGGTGGATGATCTCTTCAACAGCAGATTTCTAAATACAGTAAACTTGTGACTGGAACCAATGGAAAAAAAAAAATGCGCACTCACCGAAAGCGCATAGGTAATGCGCATATAAATATATAACTGTCACAATCATGCACACAGGGAGAGGCGCGGTTCTCCAAACTTCTGCATTTTGGTATTTCTCTTAAATTCCAAATTAGTCTCCCTCCTCCAATTTCCCCCCTCCCTCAGGAATGCGTTCAGCGTACCTTGCGAAGGGGCTGTCTATACAATCCTCTTGCCAAATAATGTATTGGCTTGTCTGTTGTAAGAAGATACCAGTTGATTTTGGGTAGAAATAAGCAGTTATGCTTTGTGTGTAGACAGAGAAGTGAGGACCTTCTGCGTTTTTAACATCTAGCAGACAGAGAGCAAAGGAGAATCTCGCTGTAACAACGAAACCGAGTGCGAGACCAGAAATCCCTTTTTAAGCTCATCAGACTTGAAACTGCTTAACCCAAGGCGTTTTGGCAAGTACTTATTTACCTAAACTTCTTTCTGTTATCTATTTGCTGTGCTCTGTATATATATTACATCTTTTTTCTGTAAATATTTCTACTGCACCCCTTTGACCTTTTAGTAATAAATCTTACTTTCTGAAAGTGTTGAACTGTTTCTATAGCTCTTGAATGTAACTTCCGAATCCCTGCCGCTGAAGAGCGCTACTATGAGTGCTTAACCTTCTGTATAACCTGTCTGTGGAGATAGCGGTATTCCGACGATTAACCAGTCATCCTAGTGTATTGCTGAGTTACCTTTTTCTCTGTACAAAAAGGAGGTGGGTGGCAGTATGAAGAGTTAATTGTGTAATTAACCTGACCCAGTAACAAACACTCCCAGGCTGTAGGTGCGTCGATTGTGGTCCAATTAGCTGGAAAATCAGTGTGCAGGGTGCAGCTGGGCGGGGCATTGTTACGCAGGTGACATCGCGGTGTTGGATTGGCTAGTCCTTCGGTCACGAGTTTGGTGAGAAGATCAGGGGTCTGACGCCGTGCCCTTCACAATAACCACCAAGGATCTCTGAGATGGGCGGATGGTGAGCTTCCTTATACGTTATGGTCATCAAGCCTGGGGCAGTATGGAAATCCTTAAGGATAGATGGGTGCTGAGCCTTGGTACAGGGCTCCCTCCTCTGGATACTGGATACAGTGGGGGATTATCTGAGATCAGCATCTGGAATTTGGGACTGTATGAAGCTTGATAGGGTATCTCTAATAATCTTTCCAGCAACATGCCCAATTATTCCGCCTGAATCCTGTATACACAACCAGACCTGCAGCGCGACCAGCATCCAGAGGAAGGAGCCCTGTACCCAGGCTGAGCACCCATCTATCCTTAAGGGGACCTCTGGACCCAGCAGATTTCCATACTGCCCCAGGCTTGATGACCATAACGTAGAAGGAAGCTCACCATTCGCCCATCTCAGAGATCCTTGGTGGTTATATATTTATATGCGCATTACCTATGCGCTTTCGGTGAGTGCGCATTTTTTCCATTGGTTCCAGTCACAAGTTTATTTAGAAATCTGCTGTTGAAGAGATCATCCACCTGTGCTATTTGAACTTTATTCCTTCATTGGATGAACTATTATTTACTCACCACTTATGCTCATGATTTATTTATTCATCCTTATGACTACATATTAGCGCTGCACTTTATTTTACTTACTATTTATAAGGTTGCAACTAATGGAGACGTTTCATATTTCCTTATTATGGTTCTCCAAAACATAGAAATGCATCCAAAACCTGGTATAGGGTGTACAACATGGGAATGAGTGAAAAAGATTGAGTGAGTGGCAGAAGATTGGCTGAACAAGGGGACCGGCTGAACAAGGGGACCAATAAGCCAGGGTTTTACTCAACACAGGGCATTTGCCAAGGTTAATTAAAGCTTCAAAAAACCATCACCAAAGCATCAAAAACACATCAAAAAAGTATGTTGAAGTGGCAAGCACTTTAATGTGTGTTAAAGCAGTAGTAAACCACAGGAAAGGAGGGAGAAAAAAAAAGGAAAAAAAAAAAAAAAGTCCCCTGCATAGTAGCACACTATGTAAAAAACTTTGCTTAAAAACTAAGCCCTCGAGCGCTCACCGCTGTAGAGGCCGCCATCTTCACCCGTCTTCCTTCCGGGTTTGCGAGCTCTGGCCATCTGACAGGTCAGGCCGCGGTTATGTCACTCCCATGCATGCGCACAGAAGTTCCTTCAGAGAACATGCGCGGGACTAAAAAAGGAGATTATCTCCTAAACATGTACCTGCAGGTAAAATTAAAATAACGGAGTTTACCAGGGGCGGACTGACCATTTGGAAACTCGGGCACTGCCCGAGGTCAATAGGGGGCCCCATGAGATGCCCCTGGTACCTTTTTTCATAGGCTTTTTTGAGTTTGGGCAAGGACACAGGGGCCCCATGATCCCCTATTGCCCGGGGGGCCCCATGAGTTGTCAGTCCGCCCCTGGAGTTTACTACCACTTTAAAGCCAAAGAAAGTATAAAATGAGCCCTAAGCGTATTTGTGTGCGTGTCTCTCTTTGCACACCTCGACATGACCCACTGCATCACAACACTGCTGCAGTAATAAAAAAAAGAAAAAAAAAAAAGGTCAGTGCCCACTGGTGGCTATGCTTTGAGCTGATCTTGCTATTGTGAACAAGCCCTTAAAGTGATAGAAAAGCCCTAAAAAGGTTTCCTGCTCCCTCCTCCTACCTATCCTGCTCAACAACTTGGGCTCTGGAGCAGGGGCGGACTGACCATATGGAAACTTGGGCACTGCCCTGAGGGCCCGGGGTCAGTAGGGGGCCCCATGAGATGCCCCTGGTACCATTTTCATAGGCTTTTTTGAGTTTGGGCAAGGACACAGGGGCCCCATGATCCCCTATTGCCGGGGGGCCCCATGAGTTGTCAGTCGCTCCCTGCTCTGGAAGGTTCTACCCCCCTTCACGACCAGGACATTTTTTCCTAATTAGCACTGCGCTACTTAATTGCTCAGACATGCAACGCTGTACCCAAACAAAATGAATATCATTTTTTTCACACAAATAGAGCTTTCTTTTGGTGGCATTTTGTGTCGTCTTTAGTAAAAAACAAAAAAAAAAAAACCCCAATAAGTGTATACTTAATGGCTTGCATGAATGTTATAGCATCTACAAACTATGGTATAAATACTGGAATTTTTTTTTTTCTATAGAAACAATTGAGTACTGTCCGTGATACTTTTTATATTTTGCACTAACATACAATTTTGAGGACAAGCTTTCGGGGAATGTCCCCTTCTTCAAGGTCCCAGCAGTACTATTACAATGTTTTAGCAGAATGCTAGAAGTTGGAGATGAGAGAGAAAAAAAAAAAAAAAAAAAGCAGAAACACAAGCCTAGGGTTAAATATACTATTAAGTAGTAGCAATACTATTAAATATAATATACTATTAGTAGCAGTGATCAGCAACATCTAATGGGACTGCAATATGCAATAGTGCAGCAGACAATCTGACACGGACGCTGGGGTTGGGGTCTGACTGGAGTTAACATCGGGTGATCAAGGGATTTAATGTGTGCTTAACAATGTGTGCAAAATGTGCTGCTTTTACGAACAGATCTTTGCCTCTCATCTAAGAAATGGAGAAACCATTCCTTCTGTACAGAGCCCTGTGTTGATTGTCAACACAGGGCATTGGACTGTGATTGGGCACAGACGATCAGCAGGTCCTGGCCATGAATCGTTGCTTGATTCCTGCTGTGTACCATCACAGCAGGTGTCGGCGGAGGCGGATTGTTTTGGCACGTGAACCTGCCCTAAACCCAGAATTAGGCAGCGACGTAGCAATGCGTGTGGGCCTCAAGTGATTAACCTGTAAAAATTTGTGTACTTACCTATTTTTAGTCCACTATGGTTATGTGATCCTGCAGCTCTGGCTCAGGGAGTGTTCAACGGCTGTGAATTCCAGGATTTGTGACATCACCCGCAGGCTTACACGCCCCAGCCACTGTCTGTGATTCCTCCTTTTCCCTAAAAGAGCAGCTCTCTGACACAAGGGAGCTGGAGGATCACGTGACCAGACCAAAGCCATTAATGTCTAAACCGATGGCAACAAAAGTGAGTCCACCCCTAAGTGACAAGGTCCAAAATGGGCCCAATTAGCGATTTTACCTCCCCAGTGTCATGTGACTCGTTAGTGTTACGAGGTCTCAGGTGTGAATGGGGAGTGGGGTGGGTTACATTCGGTGTTATCACTCTCACTCTCTCATATTGGTCACTGGAAGTTCAACATGGCACCTCATGTCAAAGAACTCTGAGGATCTGAAAAAAAGAATTGTTCTACATAAAGATGGCCTAGGCTATGAGAAGATTGCCAAAACCCTGAAACTGAGCTGCAGCACGGTGGCCAAGACCATACAGCGGTTTAACAGGACAGGTTCTACTCAGAACAGGCCTCGCCATGGTCCACCAAAGAAGTTGAGTGCAGTGAGAGTACAAAGACAAGTGTGTCTTGCCTACAGTCAAGCAATGGTGGTGGGAGTGTCATGGTCTGGGGGTGCTGTCATGGTGCGATGAGTGCTGCCGGCACTGGGGGGCTACAGTTCGCTGAGGGAAACCATGAATGCCAACATGTACTGTGACATACTGAAGCAGAGCATGATCCCCTCCCTTCGGAGACTGGGCCGCCGGGCAGTATTCCAACATAACGACCCCAAACACACCTCCAAGACCACCACTGCCTTGCTAAAGAAGCTGAGGGTAAAGGTGATGGACTGGCCAAGCATGTCTCCAGACTTAAACCTTATTGAGCATCTGTGGGGGCGTCCTCAAATGGAAGGTGGAGGAGCGCAAAGGTCTCTAACATCCACCAGCTCCGTGATGTCGTTATGGAGGAGAGGAAAGAGGACTCCAGTGGCAACCGGTGAAGCTCTGGTGACCTCCATACCAAAGAGGGATAAGGCAGTGCTGGAAAATAATGGTGGCCACACAAAATATTGACACTTTGGGCCCAATTTGTTGACCTTGTCACTTAGGGGTGGACTCACTTTTGTTGCCAGCGGTTTAGACATTAATGGCGTGTTTTTGTGTTGAGTTATTTTGAGGGGACAGCAAAGTTACATGTTTGATACAAGCTGTACACCGAGCTACGTCTTCTACTACGTCACATTGTAGCAAAAGTGTCCATTTCTTCAGTGTTGTTGCATGAAAAAGAGAGATTAAATATTTACAAAAATGTGAGGGGGGGACTCACTTCACTTGCTGAGATATTGTATCTCTCTCTCTATCTATTCCTGCAAGGTTAATGTCATCCAATGTTCGCCCCGGGCCATTGTACAATGCTCAGGAGGAACAACACAGAAAAATGCCATTCCTTCAGAGAGCATGTGCCTTGCAGCTCTCAATAAGAGCAAATATCGCGAATATTCACTTTACCTTACAGTATAAATTAAAAAAAAAAAAAAAAAAAAAAAAAAAAAAAAAACTTTAACATACCAATTTAACCACGACTTGCCAACCAATAACGGTCTACAGCACGGTTGTCCAGTTTGGGGGAGGCATCGTATGACGTCCTCCCCCAGAATGTGCCCACCTGCACGCCCCTGGTGGTGTGCACCTGGCGATCTCTCGTGATTTGCTGTGTCCTATGGATCAACGTGATGTGGGTAAAAGGCCAATGCAATTACAGCAGTTCTTTTACCATGTGATCACCTGTGTGTCCAATGACATGCCCCATGATGATCACTGCCCACCAGTGCAGTCAGGCTCACCCCAGTGCAGTCGCCCATCAGTGCAGCCTCATCAAGGCACATCAGTGAAGGAGAAAAATTACCTGTTTGCAAAATATTTATAAACAAAGAAAAACTTTTTTTTTTTTTTTTTTTTTTTTAATGTTTTGACTCCTTTTTTTTTTATAGTGCAAAAAGATAAAAACACACCGTAGTATAAAAACCACAAAAATGAAATCACTATTTTTGTGTGGGAAAAAAAAAAAAAGTAAAAAAAAAAAAAAAAAAAGGTAAAAATGTAATAATTGGTAGTGTTGCATGAACGCACAATTGTCATTCAAAATGCGGACAGCACTGAAAGCTGAAAAAATGGCCTGGGCACAACGGGGGGGTAATAACGTGCCCAATAGGCAGGGGCTAAAAGCAGGCCCCCTGCAAACCACACAAATGCAACATGTGGGGGGGGTACTGTGCTTGCGCCCATGTCAGAGAGAGACAAAAAATTCCAGGTCCCTCATTTATGATTAACACAGAATGAAATGAGCTATACTTTAGTGCAGGGCTTAAAATTTCAAGTCCTGAGCTACTAGCCAGGCCTCGTTGAGAGATACTCGCCACCAACAAAACGCACACCAGACACCTGTACACACACACATGTACAACATGTACTCACACGCACAGAGACACGTACACACACAGGCACGTACAGAAATACACACAGACACATGTACATACAGACACACAAACACACATGTACAGACACACACGTACATTACAGACATGAACAGACCATGTACGTGCATACACACTGTTAAGTGCTTTCTCCTCTCCCCTGAAAGCAATCACTGGCTGACAGAGGAATCCATTGTGACCAGAGTGAGCTGATATTAGGTAGGTAGACACACATCACACACACACCAACCACACACCACACACACACATCAACACACACACACACACACACAGTCCTTATAATAAATGTTGCAGTTTACTTTAGTTGTTTCACTCACAGATCCAGGTTACTTGCACTCATAGGGGGAGGCAGCAGAAGGAGAGCACAGCACACACTCCTTTCCGTTGCTTTCACTGCGTCTCAGTATATTGAGTCAGTTATCTGATTGGCTACCAGTGTGCCAATGACAGATCACCGGCCTGAGACTCCGAAGCCTGACTCAGGCAAAGACGGCGCCTGTGGGGACACACTCGGCCCTCCACCATAATTTCCAAATACACCATTTTGGTGGTGAGCAGGCGCGAGTGGAAATTTCACATGGACTCATGCTTTAGGGTGTATTTTGTAATTTTACCGGAAAAGACTAGATTTGATCAAATGATGTGAAACAAACCATTGCGCCAACATTAATAATTCATTCCTTTTTATTTCTACAGGGCCCTGTGCCGCAACATATACTTTATCTTTTTATTCTACAGGGCACTCCTCCGGTCAACAAATATTATAATTATATACACAGTGGGAAAAATAATTATTCTGGATCCCCTTGCAAGATTTTGTGTAAGTGTTGTTGCCCCCACTTACAAAGAGAAATGAAAGGGCTCCTCATCCATTTTTTATCATGCTCTATTCCCACTTACAAAGTAATTGAAGGCTCATCCATTTTTATTACATGGGCTTCTATTTTTCTCCCCGCCTTGTAAACCCCCACCCTCTTCCCACCCCCCCAGGCTAGATCTGTAAACAGCATGAGGAACTGCATGTACCAGAATAAACTGAAGGTCTCCAGGGGCCCCCCCACACAGGCCAGGGCTTGCCTTGTGCTATATGGCATAACTGTGTGTATAATCGTAGGCCTGGGATGGACCCATGAGATACTGCATTTTTTAGCGCAGATATGTCATCAGTATGTATTTTAGCTATTTGCCTGAGAGTTTTTGGCTTTTTTAAAGTTGAGGGAGCTTTCCCCATGTAAAAGAAAAACCTCCCTATGCATTTCTAAATTAGGTTTCCTGTTCTCCTATTCTTGCGTCACCAAGGGAAAATCATACTACATACATGTGAATCATCAAACTATGGAAAAGCCATTGGCAAATCCTCTCCATAGCGATGAAATAGGAAATTGATGATAAAGGGAGGGAAAGCTCACCTTGCCAACTCTCTTGATGTAGAATTTGCAATCCGACTGCTTGTTCTTCTGGGCACAAAATCCTTCAAAGAGGCCACTTCTGGAGCCCACGCTTCTCCCGAAGCCACCCCCTGAAGATGAGATGATTCCATGGAGTATACAAAGGACTGCAGGCCACCTAATGTCAGGACATTAAAGGCAGAGAGCTGGAAGGTAATAATTTTTTCCCAATTACTTACAATTTCTGAATCAGCCGGTGTCCTGCACAACGACCACAAGAGGAAGGGAAAAACAATCCAAACATATCAACTCGGAGACAGACATTTTAAACCACAACGTTTCAATTGCCAGGAGCTAGGAGAGGATTCTTGTGTCATGTCCATGGAGGCAGTTTAAGGGAACCCTTTTACGGATAATATTATAAATTGTCTGCCAGACAGCTGCGAAGTAATACAGGGGACCCCTCTAAAGGGGCTATCGAGTGCCAAGTGTATTTCGGGGGGCTATCAGAAATAAAATCCGTTTGGATTAGGAAGACCTGTAGTAGGATTTAACCAACTTCCAGTTGGTACGGACATCTATTTCCCCCCCATCTTCCAGTCCGGAACGACACTGACTCTTTACGTTCAGAACTCTTTCCCCCCGCACCTTCCTGTTCCGGGACACATTCACATTTCCCCAACCCCCCTTTCCAGTCAGGGACAATTCCCCCCCACCCCCTATCTCAGTCCGGACACTTCCCCCCCACCCCTTTCCAGGTCCGCGACAATCATTCCCCCCCCCCACACCACGTTTCCCCTTCCAGTCCGGACAACTTCACCCCCCCCCCCGCCCCCCAAGCCTCCCCCCCCGCTCATCCAGTGCCGGACACTTCCCTCCCCCTTCCAGTCCGGGACACTCCCCCCCCTTCCTGTCCGGACTCTCCCCCCCCCCCCCCTTCCAGTCCGGTACTCTTTCACCCCCCTTCCTAGTCCGGACCCACATTTCCCACCCTTCCAGTCAGGGACCACTTTCCCCCCCCTTACCAGTGCCGGACACTTTCACCCCCTTCCAGTCCGGACACTTTCCCCCCCTTTTCCAGTCCCGGGACACTTTCCCCCCCTTCCACTGTCAGGACACTTTCACCTCCTTCCAGATACCGGACCACTTTCCCCCCATTCCCAGTTCACGGACACTTGCACCCCCTTCTCAGTCGGACACTTTCACCACCTTCCAGTGCCGGACACGTTCACCCCCCCCTTCCAGTCCGGTGGACCACTTTTCACCCCATTCCAGTGACCGGACACTTTCCCTCACCTTCCAGTCCGGACCACTTTTCCCCCCTTTCCAGTCCGGACCACTTTCCCACCCTTCCTAGGTCCGGGACACTTTCCACCCCTTACAGTCCGGACACTTTCCCCCCTTCCAGTCCGGACACTTTCCCCCCCCTTTCCAGTCCGGGACACACTTTCCCCCCTGTACATGTCCGGACACTTTCCCCCCCTTCCAGTACGGACACTATCACCCCCTTACAGTCCGGGACACTTTCCCCCCCATTCCAGTTCCCGGACACTCTGTCCCCACCCCCTTTCCAGTCCGGACACTTTTCCCCACCGTTCCAGTCCGGGATACACTTTTCCCCCCCTTCCAGTTCCGGACACTTTCCCCCCCTTCCAGGTCCGGACACTTTCCCCCCTTTCCAGTCCGGACACTTTTCCCCCCTTTCCAGTACGGACACTTTCCCCCCCCTTCCAGCGTCCGGGGTACACTTTCACCCCCTTTCCTGTCCGGACAACTTTTCCCCCCCTTCTTCCAGTCCGGACACTTTCCCCCTCTTCC